AAGGCATTAATGATAAATTATAATATTCACAAAATAAGAAGCTAAAACAATATTCACAATTCTGACAGACTGTGAGACTGAGCTAAAACTAATAAATTATTGTCAAGGATAAAAATATACCTCCATTTGAATAGAAATACTGAAATCTTACAAATTTAAAATTATCTGCAAAGCTAGGACCAGCAGTTGGCATAATGGCTATGTCACTGGACTCCCATGTAGTCGACCACAGTTCGTGTCCTGGACCCGGTGGCTTAAACTCATGCTGGGCGTGTGTGCGTACGTGCCCAAGATCCTGAGAGGAGAATAGAGGAGAAGGGATTGAGGCGTGGCCATTCCCCCTGGGGGTGATTTCTCAATTTCTGTCTCTCTCTCTTTCTGGCTAGCGCACGCACCCTATAGCAAAAATCTCTCAAAAAAAAAAAAAAATCTATGAAGCTGGAGTTTCCAGTTTTTTCGACTACAGCTTCTCAATCTTTAAAGTTACAATCAATCACCTGGGGGTTTCTTCCAATGCAGATTCCGATGAGAAAATTTCAAGATAAGCTTTATCTTTATAGGTCAGTAGGTGGCATGGTGGTTAAGGTGCTCAATTCCCACATGGCTGACAGTGGCTCAATTCTTAGACATGGCAACATAAAAATCACAACAAATAGATGATAGACAAACAGACAGACAGATAGATAGATAAATAGATTAAAAAAAAAAAAAGTGGGACCAGCAGTGGCAGAATGGTTAAGGTGCTACACGCCCACATGGCCAGCAGCTTGAAACTCATGCTGGACATGTGTGCATGCATGCCCAAAATCCCAAGAGGAAAAGAGAGAAGGGATTGTGGCATAGTCACCCCTCATTGGGGTGATCTCTCTTTTTCTCAGATTCTCTGGTGAATGCATGTGCCCTTATAGCAAAAATCTTTCTCAAAAAAAAAAATTGTATCTTTATAGTCATGGTTGTCAGGTAGAAAAGCATATGTTTCAGGAACGTTGCTTGCTAGTTTAACTTAAAAAAAAATTAACTGAAGCAATTTTTAAGCAGAACATTGTAACTTCCATGAGAGTAACATTTAATAAAATAAGAGGACCGTGTTTTTTACATTTCTTGTTTCTATATTAGTGACAATAAACCATTACAACTCCAGGCATTTATGGCCTGTTTCCAGATGAATTTAATTGGCAAAAAGCCTAATTGGCATATAAAATTTATTGCCACTAAATAAAGCACATGTAAAGCAAGGAAATACAAAATCCCACCCTAAATCCTAATAGAGAATATAGATTAATGGAAGTACAATGATCATGAATTAATATGAATAAAGATGAATAAAGATCCAATATTTATTGGATCTTTGCCACATATTATCATATGGGCTTTCTAATTTAATTTAATTTTTTTTTGAGAGGTCTTTGCCTTAGGGTAAGTGAGCTTGCCAGACAGAGAGAAAGGGACAAAGACGGTGAAAGAGAAAGTGAGAAATATCTCCCGGGGGAGATGGCGACACCAGAGTTTCTTCTCTTCTCAGGATCTTGGACACACACACACACGCGTCCTGTGTGAGTTTCAAGCTTCCATTTTCGGGACTTGAACCCATGGTCAGCCATGTTGGAGTCCAGTGATGTAACCACTACATCATCCCCACCCATCTAATTGAATTTGAAACAAAACAAAAAACTTTGCCCTGATAATAAACCCTTAAGTGCCGGGGCAAAGCTTTAGCTACCCCTCAACTACTGGTGAAAGTGTCAGGGAAGAGAAGGGTGGAAGAAAGTAATTTCTGCTTGCATTTATCTGTGGAATCAAATTGCATAGTAATTTGCTACTGTGGTTTGTTAGTGTTGATTATGTTTAAGTCCATGTTTACATCTTCGCCTGTAATAGTTCTACAGGAAGTGACTAGCGGATGTATGACAAGAGATAAACACTGATGACAAGCAAAAAGCCCAGAAACAACCACATACTACCTCAGAGAGAGTAGCAGCTGACTCTCAAAGATCCCAACTAAAGGCAAACAGAGTTTCTCTGGGTGGCTGGAAAAAGCCACCAGTGGGTAATTAATGCATACACTTTTTCTAAAAACAGGATAACTTTCTGGACAAAGATATCTAAAGGTTTTGAGACAAAGAGTAGAATGACAGTTTACCACCAGCAATTAATTATGAGGCCCAGGTTTCAATACACAGGAGAGCAGGATCTGAAATCTAATTTCTCAGAAACAGCTGGCAATATAAACATTTCTATTAATATCTTTGAACATGAAAAGTTGCCAATAGTATCTTGATTTGTGGAACTGGAAATTCCATCTTTACAAATAGGTAAGTACAGAGCTACAGTATCTGTCAGGGAGTCTCAAACTCAGGGTCTCAAATGCTCTCGTCTGACACATTGTCACCTGTAAGTGAATTTAACATATGAAAGATAAATATTGATTATTTATGGCATACTAGAGAATAGAAGAGTTTTGAGGAGTGATATGGACGAATCCAAAGTACCTAGTTGATACCATGGTCTTCCACCAAGAGGCCCTGGGTTTTAACACATGTGACCATCTCTTTGCCTTGTAAACATAGTTGATGGCTTTTCAATTACTAAGGAGATAGAAACCACATAGTGATTTGAACAAAGAGAGTTTAATACGGTCTAGTGGAGGAGTCCGACCCGGTGGGGCTCCAGGACCCGTCTAAGCCCCTTGACCTTTGAGCATCGCTTCCGGTCGGTTCAGTAAGTTGGCAAGGCCGCGACGGTACACCCCCCGACCTTGGAACAAGCTTGGGTCACTTAGCATGTTGGCAAGGCCACTTGCTATTCGCTCCGGGACTGTGATAGCCTTGCTGGGAAGTGACCCCCCTCTGACTCCCTGATATACTACTATAAAAGAATTACATAGCTCCCTCATACATCTTTAGTGTGTGGTAAGATTTCCCAAAAAGTCCCCCAACCGCTCCCCTTTACCCTGACCACTTACTGTTAATTACAACGCTTCATTGGGCACAGTAAAGGGTGTGCTAAAGTTCTTCTTGATCTTTGGAAGGCCCTTCAAGACACATTTAATATAAATAATCTTTTCACGTACAATAGGACTAGGCCGAAACTGGCCCAGGATGCTCTCATCCCATGGTAACTAATGTTCTAACAAAATACATAACAGTGGTACCATAGGCTACACAAGTGTATCCACAACACCATAAACCCATTTTAAAGTTTTTCATGAACTTATTAGTCACTTCACCACCAGTTGAAAAGGCTGTATCCCCACCCTCACCAAGTGAATAATAACTTCACCCCTTCAGGATAGGTAAATGTATCAGGATTCCTTAAGTTTTAAATCCCTATAGAATTATATAAGTATCATTCTTTATGAAAATCCATAAGAACTAATATCTATGCTTGAGATTTTCTTTCAGTAATCATAAGACAGCTGCTGCTGAACATCGGTTGATAGTTAACTCTGCTTGCTGGAACTGTTTCCTGAAACTGCACTGCTTGAAGTTACCAGGAACCTGCTTTCATCAATCAAACAATTGTTGAACTGTATCGATGATTAATAGACCTGCCCTTAATCAAACCCTGAATGGTTTCTATTGTTAAAACTTTATGAATTGAGGGAACCAGCAGTTAGCGTAATGGCTAACTCACGCCGGGCGCGTGTGCGTGTCTCTCTCTCTGTCTGTCTGGCGAGCGCACGCACATGCGCCCGGCGTGAGTTAGCCATTACGCTAACTGCTTGTTCCCGGCCCCTGTAACACTTTTAAAAATGAAAATGGAAGAGAAATGTGTTTATACATATATTTGCGTGTGTACATGTGCATACATATGAATAAACACATGTTTACAAGTGGCAAAGAAAAACTGTGTGAACCTACTACGATTGCTCACAAGGCCATAATTAATATCTATGACTTCTTTCTTCCACTACCTAGTCTGTCTTTACCCTGCTCTCAGGCATTATTCTATAAGTCCAGAGATGTTAATGCTGGTAGGAAGGGAAAAATCTACATCCAGAATATATGTCTATGCTAGTGAGGATAAATCTCTGATCCTCGATGATGGAAGAAATCCATGGTGACAAACCTGCCACCCAGGGCTGGCTGGTCCTCAGGGCTCAATGTTGGTCTCTCCAAATTAGCAACTCAGCAGCAATGCTAGACAGGTCACCTTTAGAAAGGGAAAGTTCATATTGCTGAGCCCATGCATGCATTGTCTCTACTCCTGCCACGAAGGTCACTATGCAGAGCCCAATGACCAAGCAAGAGAATAGCTAAAGAGAAAGACTGATATCCATAGAGTGCATCAATTCATCCACTTAATTATTAAGAGCTTCCTCTGCAGTGGATGTCCTTTGATGGGCCTCTAGATAAGACGTAAGTTTTTTATTTTTCTTTGAAGAATTACTTTGTTTAACTTTATTTATTTACTTAGTTTTTTTAATTTGACCAGAGAGGGACGGAGAGAGAAAAAGAGAGAGGTAAAGTAAGAAAGCAAGCTGCCAGGTCTGGGATTTGAACCATGGTTAGCATGTGGGAGTCCAGTGCTTCTAACCATCATGCTACCTGCCGGTCCCAAGACGTGAGCTTTTGAAGGGTCTGTCCATTTTAAGGTCCATTGACATACATTTTCCTCAAACTTGCCATCATTCTTCCAGTCTTGTTTTTTCTAAGGCCCTGATCATATAAACAATGAACAAATGCCAAACAACCAATGTAGACCTGTACATTCAATCATGTATCATTCCAGACAAAGTGGACAACCATATCATGGTTCAAATTTCTGCCTACTCAGAATGCTCCTTCTCCATTGTCTTTCATGACTGTTCCTGGGTACTGTCCACTCCTAGTACCAACATATTGTGTGGACTCATCTATAAACCAGGCTTGAGGTTTTTTCTTCTTCTAACTACTGGACTTAAGAAATCTTTGAGAGGCTATAGCATGGGTTGAAGAAAAGGCGGCAATACAAAAGAGTTGGCATTGAAGGAGCCTGAGTCACTTGTTCATGCAACTTACGTGTACTTTCCAGATCTGCCCAAGCTCTGTCTCATATGTCATTTCCATCTGATGACAGATTGATGTTGTACATTGTCAAATGTGGCTAGGTAAGTCAGACAACAACCAGGTAATGATGAGAAGCTTGGTTCACATGGTCATCTAATGCTCCTTGGTTATGTACTCAGCATCTACCAAGTAGTAAGCTAGAAGCTATTGATCAAAGGATAAATAGTTATCTAAAGCAGGAATACATTTACTTCAAAATTCTAGGTGTTCACTCTGACTCTGTAGTTGGTGCTTTCCAGAGGCTCCACAGAGTATGCCTCTTTACCACAGACACTTAGGGAATCATTAGAGTTGCTAGATCATAAAGTCTATGTGGTATCCCAGGTTGCAATATAGTCTGAACTTGTTGCATACCCTTCTTTTACTCTAATCATTCAAAATCAGCAGACTTATGAGTTACATTGTGTTGATAGACTGAAGTAGCATATTCAAAAGTGGTACATGTTGACTACTAAATCCAAAGAGGACCTTTTGAGAGTAGTGGCTGCTGAATGTGCAGAAATACTACTGAAATTCTGGGAATCTGAATTTTGGATGGAATACTTAATATTGTCTTCTAATTCTTATCTACTTCCTTAATACATCCAAAGTACTTGCCATTTTCTGATTATGAGACACAACCAACATACCATCATCAATGTAGTGAACTGGTGTGAAAATCTGTGGAATGTTAGAATGGTAAAGATCTCCAGGATGGGAGAATTGAATAGCCCTGAGGCATGGCTGTTAAGGTATACTGTAAGTCCTGCTAGATAAAAATAAATTTTGGTGGACCTTATAAATTGACATGGAGAATAATGTATTAATTAATTAAGTCTATAGCTACATACCAAATACCATAGGCTGTGTGATTTAATAAAGACACTGTATTTGGGCTAGCAACTACACTTGCAGTCATCCGATGATTAAGTCTATGATAGTTCAGTTGTTCTCTAAGATCCACCCAACTTCTGCACAGGCCAAATAGTTAGGTTAAAGTTGTAATAAATATCATAAGTCTTATTCAAATATTTGATGATGGTATTGATTTGAACAATCCCTCAGGAATATGGTATTATATCTGATTTACTATCTTAGAAGGGAGGATAAGTGCTAATACATTGTACTTAGCGCTATCACATCATTTTTACTCTATGGTTTACTCTCCATATAATCAGTACTCTAGTATGTCTATTCTAAATAGATATTCCAAATAACCAGTAAGGAATTTAGAAAATAAACACAGGGTGCATCTATTGACCACCTAGGCCTACTATGAGTCTGGTGCTAAGATTCCATCTATTACATGACCACTGTAAGTTCTCACTTTGACCAGTGAGCCACCATGACATTTTGGTTTCCTAGAATTCAGTGTGAATCATCTGAGTATTTCCTTTTCTCCAAAGAATAGAATCCCTAGTAAATAGCTATAGGTCCTATGGGGAACTGTTTTGGGTCTGTGAATTAACTTAGGTCTGGAAACTTGATGAGATTCCTGGATGCTCAATTGTAGAAACTAAAGTCAACTTTCTTAACACTGAGACCTAGAGATTTTCCTGTTATATAAACAAAATAATACTGTAGTACTGCTCATCTATTTCATTCATTAGCTACCACTAGATACCTGCCAACAACATTACTTCAGATACCAAAACTATCCATAGCTCAACACATTCTGAGACCCACTACCAACCTTGCTTTCCACTGCAATGGATGTACCTACTTTGTCTTTAGGTGTTAAGTGCTTACCGCCTCTTGGCTTAAGCTACTGTAGGATCCTATCAACTCTGACAAAGTCATGGAGTCAGTCTCAATGGCCTACAAAGGACAACATATACAGACTTCTTCATTAGTGCATAGGCTCTCTGCACAATTGCATTTCTCAATACTTTGGTAAAGGTAATGTCTACTTGACCTTTTTATGGAATGTAGTTGAAGGATGGGTACGTAGTTGTGCTCAATAAATCCAGTTGAACATTCTTTTCTTGAAAGGAGTTTAAAAGCTCACAAGAAGTAGACAATTTCTGTCTGCTCATACTTTCTTTGAGTTCCCATAAATATTAAAGCAATGTTTGTCTTCAACTTTAAGCTACAGGGGCCAGATAGTGCCAAGGTGGTAAAATGTGATGCTCTGTGATGCTGATCCACATGGGAAGGTTCTAGGTTCATATCCAAAAACTACTCAGAGTACCCAGAGAGGTAGTATTAAAAAAGAATAAAAATAGATTAGGCTATATATGGACTTAATTTGAAGCACATTACCATCTGAAATTCCTACATTACCCACTCTTGATGGTTAGGATGTAAGAAGTCTCCCTCAATATACAAGTGTCAGTTGGAAGTAGGCAGTCTCACCCTAAACTTCAATTCTTCTTTTAATAGTTGACTTCAAGTAGAGTAATTATTTTTCAAAACCATACACAGTGAATTACCATATATAGTGAAGTGTATTACACACATGCTAATGCTAAACTCCAAATGGGGAAGGGAGGGGTACCTAGTTCTGTGGGATTTAAAATTAATTCTTTAGGCAAAGGGGAAAGGTCTGGATGAATTTTAACAAGGAGATGACCTAATGAGAACTGAAATTTAGACCTAATAATAACTGATTATCCCTGGAGCTGTGCTGAATATGGATTTTTTTGAGGGTGAGAATAACCAGATAGGATGCTGACAGCAATTAGAAGACCATTAAAAGTAATACAGTAATCCAGATGAATAGAAGGGGTGTGGAGACTTGGAAAGAGACTCCTGAGGTACAGTTGGCTGAATTCAGCAAGTGAATCCATATGGAAGAAAGAGAGGTTGATGAACTGTGATGTATGTTGAGGATATGTTCTTGACCTGTTGAGAGAGACTAGCTAATGGAGTGCTCTTTATTCTGGATTATCTGCACGGGTAGACCTGGAACTAAAAAAAAATGTGGTTGATCCAGTCATGGTAGTGAGTGGTGGTAGACCCTTATTTGGCAGGCTAAGGCCATACTGGAGGTCCGGGTTCAAATTCTGGTCCATTCAAAAGCCAGGTACAGTGCCAGCTACTTGGAAGGCCGAGTTAGGAGGATCACAACATGGCAAGACCCAGTTCAAAACTATAAATACATAAACAAACAAATGAACAAAAATGGGACAAGAGTCCAGGAAACATTTACAAAGATGATTACAGAAAGTAAAGGGTACAAAAAAATGATTGAGGGAACCAGCAGTTAGGGTAATGGCTATGTCGCTGGACTCCCACGTAGTCGACCACGGTTCGCGTCC